TCTTTTTTTGTCCATTTTCTCTCATCGTACTCCTTGCAAACACACCTTTTCATTGTCCCAAAGCCACACAGTTCCGGCTTTATGGTTCTTCGACTAGGTCACCCAGCAATAGTAATAGCAGTAGCAATATATACTAGTTTCATGCAGAAAAAGGGGTGAAAATATCAACAAGGGGGTTGAGCCTGCAGCCCCTTAGCTGAGATCCATCTAGTTCCCCAAAAATCGCATTTCATCTTTATCTGAGCGGGAGACTTTCAATTTGGAGATCCAAAGGAAAATAAGGATAATGTATAATGGGACATATAGATGTCTAACTAAATAAAAGCATGATAGACCTGAGTATGAGGGTTGAGCAGTACTTAGTACAGAACGAGATAGTAAGATATATATTTATACATCATATATATATATATATATTAGAAGAGCAAGAGAACATTGAGTCCCCTTGTCTCCCACGCATTAAACTGCCCGGTCGTTCTTGCCTACCATATGGCCTTTTTTCCTTCACCCTTATGTTACTCTTCTCTACCTTGCTCTTCATTCTCTTTAGTGCATGCAGTCTACAACATATATATCCATATACATACATATGTACTTATACCCTGATGACTCTTCCTGTCAGATGACGAGGGCGCGAATTACTCACCGCACACGTGCATTCTTATATGCATTCCGGCAGCCACGCGAAAATCCGGCTGCAACTAAAACTTTCCCTTTCCCTTTGCATTTACATTCTGCTTGTAAATTATTATTGCGCTCCTGCACTTAATATTTTTACATTATTAGCATCTTAAATCAAGTAAAATAATTAGACCCGAACCCAACAAAGAAATAAGATACCTACTATGGAGATTAAAAATTAATTTTATAATAAAATAAGGTACAAAAGAAATTTTTTCTCCTTCTCTTTCTTCTGTTGCTCTCTGGACAGATATATTGTAGTTGAGAGTCCCTGAGTTAGGGAGAATACAATCCCTGGTAGAAATTTCCTTTATTCATCCCCTAATGCAACTTACCCGCGTGCAGGCCATCACCAATGTCTACCATCATACATACATACATACAATATATATGGGGTAGCCAATTTATCCCCTCTGTTAATGGTTTATTCTGTACGTGTGACTGTGAACCCCTCTGTTACTCTACGCGTACTGTAGTACCTCCGTATTAGATATATATATATATATATATATATATATAAATGTGGAGGAGGCAAACGAAACGAGTGAATGGGTTAGCTGTCATCTCGATTCATTGGGGATTACGTTACGTTTTACGTTGACACAAAGGTGCATTCTAGACAAATCCACCGTATAACGTAACATATAATTTAATATACTGTTACTATTACCATTATATAGTTCAGAATCAGAGCTTAGGTATTTGGACTCTACTCTGCAAGCGAGCGAAAAAAAAAAAAACAAACCCACCAACGCAGTTAATTTTTCGTTGTTGAATGAGAAATTTTGCCCGTAAGAAAGACTGACATGACAGTAAGTAGCTTGCAAATTGTTTAAACTAAACGGAAACGTTACATTACAGAGCTGGCTAGTCTAGGACACTGATCGTTATCATTATCTCTGCAACGAATTACACATACCAGCCTAAAGTAGCATAAGCACCAGAAATATTTAGATGATAAACAGCCTGTCATACATTGTACATTTATAATAAAAATATCCAGTAGGATTCACGGATGTTGATGTCTTGGTTTCGTTTAAACTCTTAGAGTTTCAAGCTAAAGCCAAGTCCTTGAAACGGTTGTCGTGTTGCTTAGCAATCTTATCCGTGAGGTGTTGATAGCGCTCGTGGTTCGCGTGCTCAATCTTTAGACTTTAGACCTAGCCGTCAATGTGCTAAACTAAAACTCATCTCTCAACGTAAACTTTTCATCAATTATTAGGATATCAATATCAATGTCAATATTTACAAACATGACAAGACACTCTAATTATCAATCATCAAAAGTAGTCACTCTATTATCATCATCAAAATTTTTATAAATTTTTGAGAGAATATATCGAGAATGTTGAGTACATATAAGTATTTCTTGTTTTTAAATTGTGTAAATGTAATATTTAGCTTAAAGTGTGAGTAGACATGTAAGTGAACACACATACGTACACATATCTCTCAGTTTCTCTCTTGTTCTCTCTCTCGTCTCCTTTCGAAAATAACACTCAGCCGGTTGACGTCATGCCTGGTATGAGCGAGGCGCTGTTGCGCACTCAACGTCGTTGTAGTTCGTCACTGGAGCCTACACAATGACTCGAGGATGATAATGATAACTTAAATTATTTTGTATTTATATTATTTATTACATATTTTATTTAAATATTTACAACTATTCACGCAAAATCATCGATAAAATTTTTATTTGCCTAAAATGAAGAGCCACCAAAAGCAAACGGTGACATAAATGGTCGCATTAAAATAAAATAAAAACGCTCAGCTGGTATTCCTGTGTTGATGATTCTTCTTTGATCACGTCTTCATGACAACTGTCTGCGTTTGATATCAAATTAACTTAAACGACGTGACACTAAACTTGTGTACACAGCAAATGATCGTAAGCGCCAGTACAGTAAACTGTTGTGCATCAGGGTCACGTTAAACACCCGGAAGCACTGAGGGTCGGCATAGACAGTTGTCTCAAGGACTCATCGTTTTTAGACACGGGATTTACTCCCAGTCCTTACTCCCTACCACAATTATTGGTTTTCTTATCTAAAGAGATCTCATTCTTTAATCATTTTATTAACTAACTCAAATTTAGGCTAAAAGTACTTCGCAAGTTTCATCAATTTGTCGAGTTTTGAAAAAAAATATTAAATATAAAGACTGTTGATTTATCAAAATTTTAGCAAATAAATAAAAAATATTATTCAAAAATTCAAATGAATAATCCTGCGTGTTCGCATAAAGCTTTTTGATTAATAAATATGAAGAAAAAAATACCATCCTTAGGGAATGTGGCAATAAAAAAAAAAATATGAGGCAATTTTGGTAATAAAATAAAGTCATATATATTTATTTGGTCAGAGTATAACGTGTATACCTAAAGTAGGAAGAACCTCAGTAGAAGACATACAATAGTAAAACGGCTAAAAGGTCCTTTTCCTTGACTTTGATTTATGATTGCATGAAGGCGTGTGCATTTGTAGCAGCAGCACAACTAATCCGTTACGCTGACCCTAGATTTTCACGATTCAACAAGTGCTTACGTTGGGGTATTATCGGTTGTTAAATATCTGGCACAACTTCTTTAAAGTACATGTCTGATGGAATTTAAATCTAATCCCTTTTTCAATTGCGATAATATTATTCAAATGGTTGCATAAATTTATTTCGGAATCGAGCCAGAAAATATTATTGTTTTATTTATTTATTTTTATTTTATTATTGTTATTTACAAGTTGGAACTGGAGGTGTAGCGCATATTGTCCGTCTATTTATAATCGGATTGTTTACAAATAAGTGGAAAATAGTAGTTACGTGTCTGGTGGATTATTATTTAGTCATGATAACTTGTGTATCAGCACATAGGTAGTCCACGTGGGATATTGTCAATACTTTTTACTTCGGAATAAAGGTACTCTCAGTTCCATCTCGCGGTGATTCGTTCAACTTTCATACAGTGGCTCTCAGTATTGCATTATCGTTGGTGCATTTATATATACATCTATGTATGTACACGTACTGTCTCTTTGTCCACGCTTTCAAATTCCCCGCGAGTTGTGTGTATTGTGTGAGTGTGGCGAAAGTGGGAGGTAATCATCTTACTTTCTCTCACTGTGGAGGTGGGTTTCTCGGCACCGTGAGACTGTCATTTTTACTACACATTTATTATTATTATTTACTATCATAATATTTTCGATTACGTTAAAATTAAAAAATTAACGATGGTGTGGCAAAAAAAAAAGAGATCCAGAGTTTCCAAAGTCTAAGAATCTGGTTGATACCCGCATCATGATGGTTAATTAAATTCATAGTCATGACTAACACCCTCTGTATTTTTACTCCCAGACAATTTCTCTTCCCCATATAGATAGAATAGATATATATATATATATATA